CCTACGTGGCTTAACATTTACTCATTCACACATCTGGATATTTTTAATAAGTCAGTCCAGGTTATGCTTCTTGCTCTGAGGTTCAATAACAAGGCCTCTCATGAGACTTGATGAACAGTTACTTGGCAACCAACACATGCTCTCATCCTTAATGGCTACGCTTCTTCTACGTTACTGTTTGCTATGGCTAGGATTCACATTTTTTGGCTTTTAGCCGTGAAAGCTTGAAGGTGAATACCACTATAAAACAGTTGCAATAAATAGCTTATTATAACTGGATATACAGTAAATCACTTGTACAGCTGGTCAGAGTGACCCAGGTGAGGGTGGGGGTGGTGGTGGTGGTGGTGGGGGGGGGGTTTATAGATTTATTTATAGATGCTCAAACATGTGTAACCTATAAAAAACACACAAATCACTTACAGGCCATTTTACAACAGGATAGAAGCTTTCCCCATATGAACCTTTTTAAGTTCATGTATCAAACAAATGCTTAAATTATACATGTCTTTTTGCAATGTATATCACAAATATCGTCCCAAGAAAACCTTTAAAGCAATACCAAGCATTCGTTTAGCTACTCTCACTTCCCCGTATGGCTCTATTCTGGCCCCATTGGGATTGTAATTAATTTGCTCATTCATTTTCCAGTTGACTGTCTCAAAAAGAGTAGCATTTCTTAAATCTCACTCCAATTAGAGTTGTGGGAGGAGGAGGCAGGGCTGAATGAATTGCAGACTTGTCCATTCACATATTTAACTTTATACTGGAAGCCTGGACCTGAAATCCATCACAAAATACATTACCTGTACTGGGTAAAATCAGGAGTGCTGGTGCCTCTAATGCATTAAAGTTTTATACATTCATAAGCTGTACCTTTTAAGAGGCAGGCAGGAAAAAAGGAGAGCCTGGTATCTTAGGCTGCAATGCGAAAAAATAATTCTCAGATGTCCCGGTAATGAGAGGCCAGGTTAGCAGTGCTGTAGCAAGGGTGAGTTTGGGTAAGATGGTGAAAAGCAGCCCAAACTTTGCCATTACAGCCCAACATGATCCACTTTACACGTTACCACACAACCTATTCTTCCAGAAAGAGGGACCCTGAAAACATAGTATATGGGACTGGGGTTGTGGTAATGAGGCATTTTCCTTACAGTCTTTTCAGATAATTTAGCAGGCTGGTGTTCCAGGATGAACTTGGTTGTTTCTATATGTGTAGCAGAGAATTAGCTTACAGCTTATCTTACCCTTTATGTTTGAATTGCTCTCTACCTCACAGCCAATGAAACAAGCAGCAAACACAATCCATTTCAAAGGTACACGGTAATATTAGTCCGACGCTGTTTTCCGGGCTTCTGTACCATTGACTGATTTGCCTGCTGACGGCAGTTCAGAACGGGGGGGGGGGCGCACAACAGGGTCTCAACATTTCCAAATTGTTTCCTAACCTCAGGGAATCTTAAATATCAGGGAATGGTCCACCAGTCATATCATGTGATTGGGTCGGGAAGTTCATTATCCGCATGGATTAAAGACGTGAATGCAGGACAGACTCAGGATACCGCCAAACGCTTCCTCCTTTGTGCATTATAAAAATTCTGCATCATTTTCAAACCCGATCTATGTCTGTGTTATTACTGAATGTTGACGAGCTAATAATGCTGTGATTTGTACATTTTTTTTGTCAATGGTTTAATTGTAAACAAGAAAAATGACTTTGCATATGAGGTCTTCGTCGGAGTAATTTAATAATTAATTTAGCCTATTTCCCATCCTGCCCTCAATTGCCATCGGGTTCACACTGTAATGTAGTACAGGAAATGTCCTTGTATGACGGTCTTTATGGGCAAATCCTGTTACGCTGATGGTCCAAGAACTGGATTTAATTAATGACAAACAACGGCAAAACAGTGGATTTAAGGTGCCTGGAAGGTATTATTTGACTGAGGCAATTATGTCAAAATATTGTATAATGTTATGTCAAAATATGATAATATCTAACATGATAATAGGCTGGTACTGTGCCTCAGCGTTGCCTCTCCTCTCTGGGGCTGGAGGTGTGGAGTTTCCAGCTTCCTCCCTCTGTCGCTCAGGTTTCTCCTGGATGCTCCGGCTCCCTCCCACAGTCCAACGTCATGCCGCTGGGCTACCTGCCTTCTCTAAATTGCTCCTGGTGTATGATTGTATGATTGTAGCCCAGCCTCCTGCTCTGTGGTTGCTGGGAGGGCATCCAGGCCAGCCGTACCAGAATAAACCCTTTGAACATAGATGGCTGAATGGATGGTTAATATTATGGAACAGAATATAAGAGAATAACCTGTCTGTTCATTATTCATTCTACGATTATGCGTTATCTGATTGATAGAAATTCAAAATCAAAGTATGATAAGAAAAAAGATCCAAGAAAGTATCCAAATAAGCGTAGGAGGCTGAAATAAAGTTTTACATAACTGAGATGAAATGACAATGCTCTGTTTTTTTTTTTTTCTTTTCTTTTTTTTCACAAACAGAATACATCGCTTCTAAGTTCTGAGGTGTTTACTTTGCCTGCTTTGACTGCGAACAGATTCATTCTCCCTGCTATGAAATGCCTGTCAAAAAGGCCATACTTTTGTCTTTTATCTGACAAATTGTTGAAGTACATCTACACTACACATGCAATTCAGTTACATTTGCCATGCCGTGACTGATGCAGCATATGTAAACCACAATTAGAGATCTCTCACAGCAATAAAAAAAAAAAATGCATCCTAGATGAATAAATGGTTGTAGAAGATGAATGGATGGATGGTATATGCAATGAAATTTGATTTTGATTTGGGGCTATTGTGGAAAACAGAAACATTGCTGCTTTTTTGATATTTGACTGAAATATTATTTTTACTGGGTTTCAAATCTTATGCATCATATGCTTGCACGCTGCTGGTCTTTTGATGGTGTTTTCCTATGAGAAGCAGTAGCTAAACACTTTGCATCATAGTAATGTACAATACGTAACTGAAGAAAAGTGGATTTTTTAATCCATTGATCATGAATCATCAAAGGTTTACAACAGATACAGATCAAGTGGCATCCAGCTATTTAGCTTCCTTAACATTCTATTTTTACATAATTATTGACTTGGAAATGTGGCTGCAAGAAATTACATTCCCGATTAACACTGATTCACATTAACATCTTTCTACCCGTGAGCCAAGAGCGTATGTTTGGTTTCAGCATTGAAATGGACCAAAGCAACCTCAATCAAACTGGCCTGCAAAACACACACGGCACTCCTACAGTATTTGTAGGGACAGGTTCCTACCATCCATACCCGAATCTGCACCCTTGCTGTGAGCACTGGGTCTGCCACGGTGGCACCCCCCCTGCTACCCCCAAAACTGGATCAGCTCCTGAATGTTTCCCCATTTTAATTGGGTCTTAGTAATGCCAATCAGACATTACAGCTGCCACTCTTCTGGGAAGGTTTTCCACAGGTTTATGAAGGGTGTCTGTGGGAATTTTTGCCCATTCATCCAGAAGAGCATTTGTGAGGTCAGGCACTGATGTTGTACCTGAAGGCCCAGCTCACAATCTCCGTCATCCCAAAGGTGTTTGATGGGGTTGAGGTCAGGGCTCTTTGTTGGCCAGTCATGTTCTTCCACACCAAACTCACCCAACAGTATCTTTATGGACCTTACTTTGTGTACTGGGGCACAGTCAGGCTGGAACAGAAAACTGACTTCCCCAAAATCAGAAGTCCAAAATGTCTATTCCAGAATGACTGTGCTGGACATGGCCCACTGCAAAACATACCAAGTTAATTAAACAGCTTTTTTTTTCCATTTTGTGCACTGTGAAAGACAGTGACAGCCAGACACTGTATTAGCCAGTGAGCTATGCCTGACACTGTATTAGCCAGTGAGCGACCTTGCTGTCCTGGTATCAACTCAATCTAACATTGTCACAAGTTGACAGCTCTCACCAGACATATTTAAGGAGAATTTTGGGAATTCTCTGAGAATGACCCGGACCCCTTTGACTTTAAAAACTGGAATAATATTGTCCATTCACACATGGTGAATTTTACTGTAATTCCCAAAATCCTCAGCCGTGTAGCAATATCAACATCCAGGTTTTTAATGTTCTATTTTGGGTTACCTGTTTCTTTCAGTGAGTTTGAAAAATGACTCAAGATCCCTCAGATGCACGCAGCAACACTGAGCAAAGCCCGAGATGAGGATGAATAATCCAAAGGAGGCGAATCGCTGCAGTGCAGTGTTCTGTAGGCCCTTCCAGGTGTGTCTGACTGCTGTTACTGATGCTGGATCTTCATGCATATATTTAACACACAGCCGAAGGGTTAGCACACAGTCGTCTTTCATTCAGAATATGCAGTACTGACCACGTGTGAAGGTTCTGGCTTCCGTGTGCTGACCCGCTATCGCTCTTTGATGGTGATGGCTTTCCTTCCACCCCTGGTCTCTGGTGGGCTACACCTATGACTTTCTAGTGACACCGGTAAAATCTGCACAGCCTTTGTCACTGCAGAGCTTGCCAAATGGGTACAGTGCCAATGATTACACTCCATTTAGCACCACTGAGATGTTCCCTACTAGGACAGGTCATAGTGCTGGACTCAAACTGCGGGCCACCTACACAGGACAAGAGTACAAGACAAGAGAAAGTGGCATGTGCTGTGGGAAGGTGTCTTCTATATATAGGCTTTACGGTTTTTTTTGTTTTTTTTTTACTTTTAATTTGAGATATCACATATGCATACACAGTATTATTGCTTTACTTAAGTCCCAAATCAGAGCATCAAATATTAGTTTAAGTACTTATAATACTTATTGAAAATTATAGCGATATTTAGAATATCGTTAGATATAGCCTAACCTACTAATACTCAACCATCAGGGAAAAAAACCGTGGTTAAAAATGCTTTAGGGTGTTTCGTGGCGTTCCCGAGAATTACAGAGTGAGAGTGTGATATGCCGTGGATGGATTTCTGATGCGGAGAAGGAGGGGGCGTGGAGGTGTGTGTGTGTGTGTGTGTGTGTGGAGGGGGGGTATTCTAGTAAGTGAAGACATAGCTCCCCTTCGCCAGTTTGTAGTAGCCTATATCCCACTTCAAGCAGAATGAATACTTTATAATCCACAGCCGGTTTAGCGACACCAGAAGAGCTTGCTCGCGTTTTGCATTAGGCGACATATGTAATTGCTCCAGTCGAGAAAAGAGGTTACCTCAGTTTTTTTATTTTCTATACAAATGTATTACTATTATTATTTTAGAAAAACCTGACGCTTCATCGCAAGAGACTTCCTTAGTGAGGCTGAGCCGCTCCTGTTCCCCGGATTGCTGGGATTTTGGTAAATTTGTATTTTCGGGCCATTTCCCCGAGCCGCCGCGCTCAGTGATGCTTCAAGCTGCCGCTTACGGACACGCATTTCTCTTAGTCACTATCTGCCCTGTTATTCTTGCTATACGTTGTTGCTGCCAGAAGAAAGTGGAGTGAAAACATTGTATTGAAACACACTAGAAAGGATACTAGAAAAGGACTAAGAACTTGAATACAAGGGTATAGACTGGAAAACAAACTAAGGCTCAGGTAAGACGATTTTTTTTTAAATATATTTTTATTTATGGTTTTCTTGCTGTTAGTTTGTTGATCTGTCAACTTCCTATGTGTCTCGCAGAAGTGTTTTTACTTATTGTTGCGCATTGTCATTCAATACATTTATTGAAATATTAGAAAATATTTTTATTTCTTGTTATTAATTAGAAATAAAATAGTGCTTATTTGATCACTGGCTGGTGCAAACATGATTAAATTATACCGTGCTTTTAAAGTATCGTGATATTAAACGCAGACTAAGACATCGCAGTTTAGCGTTCTACATGTTGCAGGAGATATTCGCCGGTCGGCATGAAAGATGATCGGTCTTAAGTAATCAGCGAACTCGCAATCATTTAAAATCTTAAAAACAGCGGATCAGGTGCACAGAGAAACCTGTCACTCTTACTGAGATGCGTGTTGCCATTTTCCTGCGTTCCGATACGAATCACGGCGAAGTCTGCAGCTCTGTATCAAGCTTAAATTTCCTACAATTGTCTCTGCTTTAGATCTTCGTGGTTAGTTTCAAACTGTGAGTCGTAACTATTTTAGTGTCCAGAATAAAGCATCAATCCCCAGCATTTCAAATACCTTAAAGTGGAAAATGTCGTAAATTACCCTCATCTGAGCACTTAAATGTGAATTGTTTTGCCGGTGATTTTTGCGCAGCGTAATACTTTGCCTGCATACCAATTTATTAACGCCGTCATGTGTTGGTGAAAATGACCCGGTTTCCTTGTTGAAGCCTCTCGCATGCGGTCGCTCATCACGTACGAGTCGTTCATCATGTGCAAACGAGCATTGGCTGGAATGATCCCTGGTCTGAACATCTGCGCCTTTCTCCGTCTGTCATGCGATCGGGATGCGCCCGGTGCACAAGGCACAAGGAACCAACTCCAGCTTGTGGTTTTAATGATGCACAATGACCCATAATTACTTAAAATTATGTCAAAGTGTAACGTGTCCTCTACGCTCACAACACTCGGTAAAAGTACCTCTGTTGTTAAAAGGGTAAAAGAACAAAAAGCTATGAGGTTTGTATTCAGGTCGTATGAAAGTTATAAGGAACAGTAACTACGAAGTACTGCTATAATGTAACAATACCGTCTCTTTGCATTGCAATGGCCATGTATTTAAATAAGTCTTAGTTTACAGCGGACAAGTCACTAATTGTTTCCACTGGGTTTGTTAGTATTTCAGTGGGATATGTTCCAAGACAAATTATGACTGAATATCTATTATAATTCAACTAGCTATTGTTTACAGCTAGATAAAATGTTTCTTATGTACAGTGTTTCAACCTGAAGCTATAATAATTTAGTATAAAATTATAATAAAGTAATTCACAGATACTTTTTAAAGATAATATAACTAGATATGTACCGTATATTTGATTCCTTGCGGTTATCATAGCTATTTGTTAAAATGAGCTGCTTAATTACGAATATCTCTGCTGAATATTGTTTTGGTACATATAAAACAGCATTTTAAATGTATTTACTTTAAGCCTGAAAATAGTTCTTCATCAGTATACTGAGTACAGATACAACATGCAGATATTGTACATGGTGGTCAACACAAAGTCTGTAATCAACATGCCAGCTCCACTTTACATTAAGGCTCCCTTCTGCCACTTGTACATGGAAGTAACTCATTAATAATAATAAAAAAAAAATTGCTATAACTTTTTTTATAATTGTCTAGCAATGTTTTGCAAACTCTTACAGCCTAATTAACAACTTAATTATAAACCGTTCATAAGCCCTTTATAAAGGTAGTCTTACTATAAAGTGGAACTAAACACACAAACAGAAGAGCATACAGTATTTTTATTTCAGTGTGTGCTCTTTTTTCCTGCTTTTGTTTTTTTTTCCTGGCTCTTCGGCAGAAATCCGTAGGGATTGTGGGTTTGTGCCACGCTGAGGGCATACTACACATCCCACCCTGCCACGGTGTCGTATTTCTTCAGCCTGGTGTTTTCTTCTCCACTGATGAGCCCCTGGCTCAGTCCCCTCACACTGCCTCCCTCATCTGCTGTCAGAAGGCCTGTCCACGCTGCTGGTTCAGCTCAGTACCCAGTCTGGGGCCATGCCAGAGGAGCTCTATCTGTGTCAGGCTGATGAGTAGTAAGTGGGTCCCTGAAACGCTTCCTACCTGGCCATGGATCAGATGACTTACTGTCGCTGCTTGTTATTGTGACCACATTTGTAGCTGGTGACGACTTAGACTGTTTGGTCTGTCTATGCTGTAGGTCTTGTTTTGGTACCATTTGGGCTGGCGTTTAGCCGAAGCTACAGTTTGACTCGCTCAGTCAAATCTGATCTCCAGACATAGACAGGTACGTGGGGATGGGCTGGCGTCCTAGTGCGCGTACAGCAAATCCCGTAAGCCTTTGGAGCTTGAGAGTGGTGAAGCTAAAAAACCCAATCAAAACATGTCAGGAAGTGAACAAAGTGCAGCAGCTATACATAGACATGCTTGCTGACGTGCAGCGTTTAGATACAAACCAGGGAACCCAAGGGACACATAAAACAAAAGCCATGTAATTACTCCCAATATAATGACAATTTCCTTCAATTTCCGGAACTCGACAGGTAGATGTAGATGTACTTTCCAAGAGAGTGTGGGCGGTGTGGTGAGATTGGTGCTGCTGACAGATCCAGGTAATCCTTTAATCCATGTAACTTGTTTCAACCTGGTGTCACTAAGTAGCATTTGTGTCCTTGCGGATTGGGTATTCCTGAAAACATGCCATGGTCTGGGGAAATATGAGGCAGGAGCTTCTGGAGGTGCCCCCCCCCCCCTCACGCCTGGGAGACACAGATACATGCAGACACACACACACACACACACACAGGCTAAAAAGAAAATTGTGAAGAACTGCAAATGCGAAAGACAAACGCACAGTGTCTCACTGCCTACGGTGTGTCTATTCTTACCGCACTCTACTGGTTTTTGAAAAAGTTAGGAATTCTGTGCGATTTCTCAAAACATGTTTAAGGGAGGGGTGAGGGAGTTTACTCAGCCTTCTCACGAGCAGAAGAACAAGCCATTCACGGTGTATCAAGATAGCAGCTTTCCCTCCAGCTTCTCTCAGGGATCAACAGAGCTTATTTTTAGAAGCTGAGAAGGGCTGTGACATTATGCTGGAGCTGACATACATTGAGCTACACCTGTACAATGTATATAGGACTATTAGTCTTACTGTTGGAAGTAGCGTTGTCAAAAGCATTGAAAGTAACCAATGTATCAATTCTATTGTATATAAGATAATTTCAATACTGATTTTTCATATTATCAATTCTAGAGCCCGTGCTTCTGGTTTTCTGGAAATACATTGGCTTCATGCCAAATGAATACTGATAAAGGGGGCAAACACCACGCAATGTAATATAAAGAGTTTCATATTATAGGTATCTTATATCTGAATTAATGCAATTTTAATTTGCATGAGCCTGTTGTGGTTGAAGTAGAGGTGTGATATGCATTTTTTTAACTGGTTAAAACATTTTTTGTAGTTGGTTAAGCATTTCCGCATTAAAACAATGGTCTCCAATTGTTTTTACCTGCCGGTCATATTTGGCCCCGTACGATCTTGTGAGGTCCTGTTGATTAGTGTTGATCATTCGGATACAAACTTTTAGTCATGCAATTGTTAGACGTGTTTGTGCTTTGAGACTTAAAAAAGTAATGTAAAAGTAATGTATGTCTATTGTACTGTAATAATATAAAGTACCCTAAGTAATCTCATTTTTAATAATGTTTACTGCTAGCTCTGAATGTATTACAGTGAGATTACATTGTCTACTACCCAGCAAACATGAGGCATCCACCCGATGTGTTGATTGCATCCATCGGTCCAGGACCATATCTGTATGTCTGCAGAACATGCAAATGAGGTTCGGTATTTGAACATCTGACTATGACCCCTCTTGGACCTAGATATGCAGTTAAATATTTGAACATCTGGCTAGGAGATTTTTTGGACATCTGTGGACCTGCAAGACAGGTGCAGGATCCAATATTGGACGTTCAGAAGACGTCATGAAAAGACATAGACAAGTCATAAAAACTTCCTTTCTGGCTCCTAAGATGTTGAAGGCCACAAGGGTCAAAATGTGTTTGCTTTTTTCACATTAGCACGCTCAAGATCGACGTGTTAATGCACACAGTTTGCATGTCTTAACGCGTAACAACATGTTACCACGTTAAGAATGTGCCCTTTTGTGGCAGTGTGAAGTAGCAAATTCACCAATGCATCATCAAGACAAACAAGACGTACAAGCCATATTTCACTAGGGGAGAATACAGACCATTGTGTAAGCCAGCAAGTTCCCTACGTTGGGTATATTTCACAGCTGCGTGATCCATACTCACTGTCTATATTTCTGCTTACATGTTCAGTACTCAGTGACTTCAGAGAAGCCATTTCACAGAATGTGTGGAGTTGCAGTGCTTGATTCTGCATTCGCTCTGGTGCCGGTCACACTTAAACAATTCCGTCCATCTGCAGAATATAGAGCAAAAAAAGCGAAAAATGTCAGTCCTTTCTTTGATTATTTCGCAGACCGTATATGACGACACTTTTCCAAACTAGCAAACTAAAAATAAGTCTGAAGTCTAAACTGACTGACGAGTAAATAAGTGTTACACGGGGGCTGGCGTAGCCTCCAGGAAGTTCAGTATCTCTTTTGCATGGAGACGCAGGACTTCCTGTATCAAAAGGGTGTTACTCAAAATCTTTAACGTGCACATTTTATATATGTTGTCACGTTATTATGCGTTAAAACACAAAAAACATGCATGTCAGGAAGTCAATATTAAGCAAGTTAACGCAAAAAATGCTAATGTTTTGACCCTTTAGGTCTTTAATACTTAGGAGACATCTTTTCAAAAGACATATTTTAAACATATATTTGCTGTGTGTACTGTACCCTTATGTTTCACTGACAGGCAATGCACGGGATTTTTTAGATATAGTTACATGAGTTTAC